TCTCTTTCCAGTTTCCACTCCAAAAGATGGGATATTGCAGCACACATGGGACTGAATTTCCTCTTCCTCTCTGCAGGTAAGTGTCTGTGGTATTTTGTTCTCTATGGTGAATCCTGTAACTTGATGAGAAACAACTTATCAGCTGAAAGTGTAGAGTAAGAAGTGTGTTACCAGGGAGGAACTGAAAGGTAACCTGTGTTTTACCCCTACATTATGTTTGTTTTCTGAAGTTTAAATAAAAATGCATGTATTGTGCACATGTATAAATAGTAGAAAACCATAGTGAAATAGTTGTGCCTTGCTGTAATCCCTTTAAAGATGGCCCAGAAAGTCTTAGAAGTGAATGGAAAATTCACCTTTTTTTTTCTTCTTTTTTTTTCTTTTTTCTTTTTTTTTCCTAGGAGAGACTAAACTGCCATTCCGATTCAGCATCTAATGCTGCTTCTTGTTTCACCTAAAACTACTGAAGTATTTTAAAATAGCAGAAAAGACAAATTCCTCAGATGGCTTGAGGATTGGGTCATGCCATTATGTCAAATATACTTACTGCTTTTTATACTCTCCCCCACTGTTTCCTGGAGATGTTTTATGGCAGGAGAAGTCTATTCAGAAACTAACACTGATAATAAACCCCAGCATTTGCTTCAGTTTTATTTTCTCCTGAAACATTGCTGTGAAGTGGCAGATATTGGAAACACAGTTTGCTGCAAAGTTGCCTTAACAGTCTTCAATTTCTGTTTGCTTCCATTTAGTTTTCCTGTGGAGAATGAAAATGACTGTTCCAGCCAAGGCTGGGAAGATTTTCCCTGGGCTAACAATGAGCAGAGAACTGAAGTGCTGGAATTCTTTCCTTGATGTCAGTTTAACTGACTCAGTGGCATAAAACAAAATTAGTAACGGTTCAAGTGCATAATCTTTCCTCTGGTTAGAACTTCCCTGACAAATACTTATTATTTGGCTAACAAGGGGTAATTAAGCTTCTGCAAAGAGGACCAAGAGAAAAGTGATTGACCCCTCCAGGCTGAGCCTCAGCAGGGTCCAACTAAAGCTCCTTCCTGCGACTGTGAGTCACTCCATGAGACACAGCCAGTCTTCCCTCCCCTCAGTCATGTTTTTCACTCTGGTGAGGAAACAAAATTAGAATAAGCACAGATTTTAAATGAAGTTGCTGAGCTCTCAGACAACTTTCAGGAAAAGCAGAAGTTGCATCAGAACTTGCTTTTGAACCAGACAAGCAATTTAGAGTTTATGTAGTGCTATCAAGGGTTTCTTGGTTAAATGTGATTGCTGTTAATTACTGGTTAATGCATTACATGTCAATCTTATCTTCAAAGGTTCAGAATGTAAAGTCTTTGATAAGCAAAGATCCGGATTAGCATATGAAATAGAAGGGTTCCTTAAAATAACTCACACTTTGGGTGTGGATGCAGTTAGTCCTGTAACTTTGTTAAAGCTATTTTGGGTAAGCATAAAAAACAAAGGTTTCTTTCCACAGCAAGTTTGTCTGAATATGATCTTCACTTTAACTGGTTTTGCTCAGTTAGCTCAATCCTATAAAAACACTGAGGATTTAAATATGAGTATGGCTATATAAAATCATGTACTAGGTTTATGCACAACTTGTAAGCATCCTCTTGATTAACCTACCAAGTGCTGGAGCAACTGAGACTTATATAAACCACTCATTTTAATGAAACATTTAAGCATGGACTGCTAACTTAGTGACCTGAATGGGACTATTTATATTCTGAGTGGAAAACAAATCCTGTTCTGGCAAAGGATTTTAGCATGTCATTTAAATCAGGAGTAACAGAAGCCAGCAAAAAGAAGGAAGAGAAAATGAAAAGCAGCACACAGGGGTTTAGTGTGTTTATTATTTTCTGTTTGTGTTTATTTTTTCTGTATGTTTCTTGTTTGTTTGACTCATTGGTTGTTTGGGGTTTTTTTTGTTGGTGGTTGGTTTTTATATGTGTGGGTATGGTGGGGTTTAATTGTTTTTTACCATTTGTGGAGCATTTAGTTTGCATTTTGTTTTTCCACCCTATTGTTTTTACCAAAAATCCAAACTGCCAGAAAATCACTGAACTCTGTTCAAAGCAGAGATTAAGTCCCTGCCATTAGAAGATTGATGTGTGAACTACATTAATTGCTTTTCTTTAGTGACTTTGCACTGAATCTAGCTGTATTTTGATGCACTTTAGGAAAGGTCTCCTGTGTTTACTGGTGACCTTGTGGGTGCTCAGCTACCAACTTATCTGCATGTATAAAAGTTGTCTCTTCCCTTCTTAAGTGGAATAGCTGTCTTCTAATTGGGGAAATGCTAATGTATTTAAGATGGCAGATGTTTCTGGTAATAGTAACATCTGTAATGTTAGCAAATAGATCCATTAGGAAATTTTATCAAAATAATTTTTTATGCTACTCATGTAGTTCAGAGTATCCATCTTGAAGGAAAACCACAAATAATTATTTGTGGATTCCAAAGTCCTGAATAAATTATGGAGCAAAAGGTTGGGAAAAAGGAGGGGGAAAAGGCTGTTAGAGTATGCTCAGTGAATAAGGCAGATTGTGTTTGGCAACTGACTGTGCTACTGGGAGGCCATAACATCTCTAAAAGAGATCTCTAAAGAATAAAAATCTGTGGATGATTATAGTCTCCATCACATAGAGAAAACCAATCTTATGATTTATCACCTGTGAGAATTAGCAATACTTCCTACAGTGGGCTTTGCTGCCTGCTCACCTGCCCGGCTGTACCCGGAGGATCAGTGGTCCATGCAAGTTAGGTCTGAGACTGCCCAGCCTGTGCTGAGCTGTGCTGTCTGTCCAGCCTGGCCTCCAGGCCCACGGGGGACAATTTCCCTGGCTGATTGTCCCACGGGATTATTGGGGCAGGTCCTACGTGGTACCTGCAACGACAACCCCTGCATGCCCTGCACTTCATCTGAAAATGGCAGCAAAGGCTTCTGGTGTGAACATGTTTTATGTATGGCCATGAAACAATGTACAGAGTTGTCTCCTTGTACAAAACTCCTGTAATAGCATGAATGACCAAATTGGTGTAAATTTTCCATGGGCAGGATGTGTGTGACGTGCTGCACCTGGTTGATGCTGGACAGCCCAGGGTTCCTGAAGGAATGTAAGGTTATCTACACTGTTCTCTCCATTATAATGTTAGCTTCAATAAATGGTATTTTAAGTGACACTTTAGAATCTGAGTGCCTTTCTTACTGGAATCACAATAAACCAGCACCACCTGGTACAAAAGAGTTGTCAAACTGTACCTGCCAGAACAATTTCACTTGGAGTGCTTTTTTGTTCTGATGATGCAATTGGCCGAAGACTAAAATTGGGCAAAACCTAATTTTTTCTCCTGCTGTTTATTATGTGTCTTGAGTCAGGGATCTTAATGGTTCTGTGTGAAAGCCATGAAAATAAAACTCTCAAGTGATCATGGGCTGTGTTCTGTGAATGACAGTTTCAGTGCTCAGAGGAATGTACGTGGGTTACAGAGACAGAAAAGTGTGAAATTTTCTATCAATTGCAGGAAATAGTGCATGCAGGACTCCTATTTCTCAGCCTCTGTCAGTCAGTAAGTGTTAGAGAGTTCAGTACCATCTAAGACCATGCCCATCATCCCTCACTTGTTCCCCATTGTCCTTTTCTGCAGAGTGAGCTCACAAAGACGTTCTCAGTGCGTGGCTCCTCTTTGGGCCTAGGGCTCCAGTGCATTTGGGGTTTGGATTCTGGCTGTCCTGCTGACATGATTTATGGTATTTGATCCTCAGACTGAAATGCTGAAGACATCCATCAAGATGTACAAAAAGGCCATTCCATTTCTTTCCCCAAAGCCGGTCTGAAAAGGTATTTTTGGCCAAGCAGACCAACTAACACAGCACTTAGCCAAAACTATAGGGAGTCCTATGTTTTGACATGGAAAAAAGACCATTGAGATCACAGCACATACATCATAAATAATAATTTGCTTTTCCTACAACATGCAGAAGAAATTATGCATAAATTTATTTAATAATCTCTGTTGAAGTCCTTGCACAGCTGCTGCCCTCACCAGAGCTTATTCCCATCCCACAGCTTTAAAGAAGACTTAACACAATAAACCTACCCCAAACACCCAACAACTCTCAAAAAACCTTCCAACAACACAACTCCTTCCTCTTCGTCACGTTTTGCCTGGCTTCAGTTCTGGAGGCAGTGGAGCAGGAGGTGTTTTAGCTTTTCCCTGCACTGCGATTGCACTGCGCTCTCTCCAGCTGTGCACAGCTTTCCTTCCCAGCTGTTTGTGGGGCAGAAAAATTCCAAGAGGAAAGCTGCTCTCCTTACTGTGAGGTACACCCTGCTGGGAACACTGGACCTGAGGCTTTCATAAATTCCATTCACAGACTCAACTCTATTCCTGTTCTTCAAAAACCCAAAAATTTCTAGGGGGGGAATTATTTGGAAAGACAGAACAGTATCAGGCTCACTGATATATTCATGACAGCCTGCATTACCATTAATGCTTATTTTATCTTTCCAGTAGCATGTCACAATGACAATTTTTTAGTTTTATTTACTGTGACCAATGTTAATTTATCTGTCCAGTAGCATGTCACAATGACAATTTTTTATTGTTTTATTTACCATCTCATCTGAGGTGAAAACCCTGAACAGTGTTTCAACTGTGCTGAAGAACACGAAAGCGACCAATGTTAATTTATGCACCCATGTTACAGCGAGTCATCAGAAATAAACTGAAAGGGACAGGATGCAGCACTTGTCCATTTAACCGAGCGCATTTCCTAGTACGAATAAATGGCAGACCTGGGGCAGCAGAGGAAGCCTGGCGGGCCGGAGGCCGTGAGCCGCAGGGCCGGGCGGCGCTGAGGGGCGCGGGCCGCCCCCCGGGTTCCTCGGCCGCCGGGGCGGGACGCGGCTGCCGGGGCGGCGCCAGCGGGGCCGGGCCGGGCCGGGCCGCGCCCCCGGGGCCGGCGCAGGCCGGGGCGCAGCGGCGGCGGCGGGCGCGGGCCGGGAGCGGGCCGGCCATGGTGGGGCTCAAGGAGGAGCTGCTCAAGTCCATCTGGCACGCCTTCACCGCCCTCGACCTGGACCGCAGCGGGAAGGTCTCCAAGTCCCAGCTGAAGGCAAGCGGGGGGCGGCCGACCCGGTGGGGTGCGAGGGGTCGGTCCCCGCCGAGCGCTGGCGCCGCGGGCACGGGGCGCGGGCTGGGACCTGCCCACGGCCGCTCCGGGGGCACGCGGCGCTCGCTTTGGGGCTCTCTTTGGGGCTCTCTTTGGGGCGCCGTAAATCGCGGTCTCCCCGCCGTTCGTGCCACGGCATCGCTGCCCCTGCGGGCCCCGGCCACCTCCGTCCCGCGGGCGGCTGGCGCGGAGCCGTCCTGGAGCTCGAGCAGGCTGATTTTCATTCCGCTCCGTCCTCCCCGGGATGTCAGCGCACAAACCCTTGTTGTGCTTCTGGTCCGCTTTCAACCGCATGTCCTTGCTACCCTTTCTGGCCAAAATCTTTTGTGGGGTAGCCACAAGGTCCCATCTATAGGGGTTGGCTGCGTCCAAGTGAAATTCACAGCTTGCCAAGGGGAGAGAGAGGTTCCACAGTGCCCTCTTATTTGGATATAAACAGGAGAATTAGTCAAGAGGCTCCAACTGTGCCATTCTTTCCTTAGCTTATACGCTGAAGTAGTGTTTGTGCTCTTAAAAGAGCTCTCAGGCAGCTCGCTGAATCCAGTCCCGTCTTGGCCCTGCTTTATGGGACCGTCTTGGCCTGGGAATAATAGCAGGAATCTGGCTAAATAAATATTTTGAATAAGAACGCAACACCTGTTGACATTGGAGACTGTGGGTCTTTGTGCTCGGCGCTGGGGCTGCGTGGGCAGCAGCGATCAGCCGAGGTTTGTGCCTTTCGTGCGATTCGCTCCACCAGCCACAGTGCCCGTGCTCTGGGTGCTGTTCCCTAGCGTGGCTGTGGTCGCTCATGGACTTTATTTTTAGCATTATGTAATGAGGGTCCGGAGCGTGCTGCAAGCAGCCTGTTCCTCTTCTCCTTTTCTTCCGCCTGGGTGATGGGGCTGTGAGATAGAGCCGGACTGGGGCAGAAGTGACGGCGGGGCAGGAATCGGGCCAGACGCCAGACCTGGCTGTGAACTCCAGCTGAAAATGTGTGCAGGCCCTGGGTTCTTCACGGGGGCGTCAATGAAAGCGAGTGTTTGTGTTCAGCCTTGCAGGACAAACCAAAGCAGGTCGCAGAGAAGCTTTTTTGTGTTTTTATCGTCCTGCTTTTTATAGGAATCCTGTTTTCCTGTCATGCTGCCCACCACACCTGGTGTGCTCCATGCCCTAACCTGGGGGTGTCTGCAGATGTCGTGGTGCAGGCCAGTGCAAAACCTCAGGTGATAGAATGGTCTCTTCGAGCTAATGGTCTCTTATAAGCTCTTGGAGATCTATATCACACCCGAGATAGCTCACTATTTCATATGGTATAAAATCAGCAGGATGGCTTCTGTGGCAGTGTTGGAAACAGACAAGTTTTAATAAAAGGCAAAATAACAAAGCTCTTTACAGAAAAAAACCAAGCTAAGTGTAAGAGGCTCTTGCTCCTGGTAAAACACCTCACAAAAGTGATTAGTTCCTTTGTTGTGTTCTTTTTCTAGTAAATTGCTTATGCAGGACTTTTTGGCTTCTGTCTAATTGGCTATCCTTAAGTTTGAAGTCCCTAAGGTCTTATGAGGTGTCTTTTTACCTAATTGAGGAGAGAAACTTCTGAGCTTTTTTCCTTTTTAAGGAGACGAAAGATAATTTTGTCACTCCATCAGCAAAGGGCACATTTCTACACTCAGGTGCTGCCCTGAATGAAGTGGCTACAGAAGCTGCCAGTGTGCTGGTGGGCTGGTACAGCGTCATCAAAAAATGCAGGGCTTTGTATGTTTGTGCAGCTCTGTCTGTCAGCTCTGTCTCCACAATTAATTATGTCACAGACATAATTAATTAATTCCCACAGAATTATTAATTCCTGTGGAAATAATTAATATTCAATCAATATCCATAATTATTCCTGTGGGGAGTGTCAGCTGGAGGATCTGGGAGTGCAGAAACAAGTCTGAAATGAGGTTGCCACCTTCTTCTGTGGCCACCAAGAGTTAGTTTTCAGAGGGAGTAGAGGGAGTCTTGTGTAGACTTTTTGTGGCAAATGCTGAATGTGGTGTCAGACTGATGGTCCTGCTGGGGAAGAAAGGTGTGCAGGGTGGCAGTAGCTTCACATGGTCAAAAAGGGCAGGCAGGACAGCAAAAGAGAAGTTCCTGTGTGTTAGAGATAGGACTGTGTTGTCCTTAGAAGGTATTTCCCAATTAAGTGTTTCTCATCATCATGAGGAAGATACAGCACTCCTGTAAAATGGAGCACTGATGATGCTTGGAGACCAACAGGTTAGTAGAGATCTGTGACATTAGAAAAATATGCTTAATAATTGAGTGGAATGGCTGTTTAAAAAAAAAAATTATGGAAACCTTTTTGGTTTGTGAGAATGGCAGTGTTGTAACCTGCTGAACACTTCCCTTCTCAGTAAGAAAACCTACTGGCCATGGGTCTTTGGTTTCTGTAATGCAGTATAAGGTGGTGCCATCACATTTCAGGGAAATTCCTAAGGATAATATGTTTGCTTGTTAGAGGAAGTGATTTTTAGTTACTCTGCCTAGAAGTGACCTTTGATCCTTCCATAAAAATAAATAATTAACTTTAAATACTATGAGAAAAATAAATATATGTGTGTGTGTGTGTGTGTTCTGTAGTTGAGGCCCTACTGCAAAGGGTTTGCATCACACGTTTGTTTTCAGTAGATCTAGAGCAGATGGATGGAAGTGAGTCAGTTTGGTCTGTTTTGTAGTCTGGAGAAACAGCAAATGCTTGAGGGCAAAAATGAGACTTGCTTTGAATAGTAAGGATGTCATGAGATGTCTTTTATCCATTTGTATCTTCTGTATATGTTCTGAGCTGCTGAGAGAGGAGACAGTCAAATCAGTCCCCAGTGTAATTTTGAATATTGTCTGCTTCCAGTATGCACTGATTTTTTTGTTCGTTTGTTTGGGGTTTTTCTACCTTTTTTTTTCAACTGGTAGTCTTCAGAAGTTCTACTGTTCTGTTGGCTGCAGCTCTTAGTCTTTTTTTCTACATCAGCAGAAACATTTCTGTATTCTGTTCTTAAATTACAGCTTTAAAGCTGGACATAGTCATTGTTTTGCCAGTGTGTTTTTTGGCATGTTGAAACACTGATACAGCAAGGCTCAGGTGTAAGTTCTGTGTACACAGTTACAGCTGCTGCTGTGATTCCAGCACGAGCTACATCCAAATTGCTTCCTTTTCTACACTTAGATTCAATTTCATCTGTCTTACAACCTGCAATTTTAAAATTAACTTGTTAATTCACTTTTCATCTGGGTCTTGAAACTCTGTAGTTTTACATATGGTTCCACCTGACAGCCAGCAGAATTGCTAGTAGTGTGTGTCTGTATGATTGGATCTTGGAAAAATCCACCAATTAGTTTTTACACCCTCTCTGGAAGCTCTTCCACTTGTTGCTTTGTGATTTGTCTCTGCTTAGGCAGTGGATTTATTTTGGTGTTCTTGTCTTCCATGCTGCATTGGGGTTTGTTTTCTGAGTCTTGGGGTCTTGGACTCCTGGAAGCTATCTGCGGAATGTGGATGGTGAAAATTATGTCTCACTCAGGCCTGTATTATAACTTTGGGTGACCAAAACTACTTGTCAGGCTTAGAAAATCCATACCGGTCTGTTCTCATTTCTGGAGTGTTAGAGGCTTGTTGTACCTCTTGCCTTTGCTTTTCCCCTAGATGAGAAGTTGGTGGCCTGTGGGAAGAGGAAGAATGGTGTAATCAGGGGTGAGAGGGGTGGTCTGAGCACAGAGGAAGACCTTGAACAATGCAGTGAGGCAGGGGCAGGGTGGGAGCCTGGCCGAGTGGGCAGGACCCCGTGGGACAATCGGCTTTGTGCGGCAGTGCAGGGCAGTAGGAAATTACTCACTGTGACTCAGGGACAGGTCCTGCTCCGGGGCTGTCGGCAGGGCTCACAGTGTGTGAGTTAGGGTAGCAGTGCTGTCGGTGAGGCGTGAGGGAGGGATGCTGTTGTGCCAGGAAAGCCCAGGCAGCCTTTTAGCCTAGACTAAAACAGGGAGCCTGAGGAAGTGACAGGGCCATGAGGCTGTGCTTGAGAGGAGCAGCTCCCAGTGGATCAGCAGCCTGTGTAACCTTGAGCCAGCCTGTGCCCAGGTGGCCAAGGCAGCCAGTGGCATCCTGGCCTGGATCAGCAATGGTGTGGCCAGCAGGAGCAGGGCAGGGATTGTCCCCTGTGCTGGGCATGGGGAGGCCATACCTCGAGTGCTGTGTCCAGTTCTGGGCCCCTCAGTTTGGGAAGGACATTGAGGTGCTGGAGCAAGTCCAGAGAGGGGCAGCAAAGGTGGTGAAGTGTCTGGAGCACAAGTCCTGTGAGGAGCAGCTGAGGAAGCTGGAGGTGTTTAGCCTGGAGAAAATGAGGCTCAGCAGTGACCTTACCACTCCACAACTGCCTGAAGAGAGCTTGTAGCCAAGGGGGGATTGGTCTTTTCTTCCAGGCAACCAGCAAGAGGACAAAAACTTAAGCTGCAACCTTAAGGAGGTTCAGGTTGGACATTAGGAAGACTCTTTCCACAGAGGGGCTGATTAGATATTGGAATGGGCTGCCCAGGGAGGTGACAGAGTCCATGGAGGCGTCTAAAGAAAGACTGGACGTGGCAGTCAGTGCCATGGTCTGGTTGACGTGGTGCTGTTCTGTCATAGGGTGGACTTGATGATCTCAGAGGTCTTTTTCAGCCTAAGGGATTCTGTGATTCTCTTTTGTCAGGGAAGATGTAGAAGAAAGTTGCAGTACAGGGGAGTATGTTTACATGGAGCTCTTCCTAAGGACTAGGAGCCCCAGGACAGAAAGGCAGTTCCCTTGGCTCCTTGGGCAGGTGCAGGCTGGCACCAGGGTGTGACTGGAGGCCAAGGGGGATTGTGCAGATAATGAAGGCAAAAGAAAGGGTGAAGTTGTTGAAAATGGTGATGAGGGGTGTGCAAGTGCCCAGGGATGAAAGGAGCAAATGAAGGAACGGGAGCTGATGTGGATGAAGGACACAAGTGTCAGGAACCTGGGCTGGAATACACTCATCCATCTGGGAAAGAGGCTGCTGCAGAAACCCTGATGTTGAATAATGAGGCTCCAGGCGGGGTATGTGCTGCCTGAGTGGATAAGGAAGCTGGACCTTGGGGGTGTGATGATGCAGGATGTGGTGTGTGTACGGTGTACCCTGGATGAAATGACCTGGTGCTTGTGATGAGGAGCTTGTATTATGCTACTTTTAGCATTGGTCCTAAAAGAAAAAGGGAAAGTGCTTGTGAGTAGCCTTATTTTGGCTGGCTGGCTGGCTGCTGACATGGATGTTAGGGAGAGATGAGCCAAGAATGTCTTGGAATGAATTCACACAAAGCCACTGAATGGAGCTGTCGGGATCTGGTATGCCAACATCTTAAAATCTGAAAAAGAGACAGGGGAGTGGGAGGACCCCCCTGAAAGATGGAAAATAAAAAGAGAAAACTACCGAGAAGCTGACAATGGCTGCTGCAGGATTAAGTCTGCCCTGGTAAGGCTCCCATTGTTATCTGGGCCAAATTTTTGTCACTGAGCAGTAAGTAGTCTAGCATTTCTCCCTCTCCCTGTAGAAATGCAGATCACTTTTCTGGGACATGGTTAAATGAAACTACTCAGATGGTAACAATTCAACAGGTGCTGAAAGTTTTGGAAAAAGGGAACCCAAGAGAGGAGCAGGTCTAGCAGAGTAGACCTGAAGGTAAAGCAGCATGAAACAGGGCATAATAAAGTAAATCCAAAGTCTGTGATGACCTTTGGCATTCAGCTTGCTTGTGCTTGTATTTGTATTTGGAACAGAACATCTTCAGTGTTCCCAGGGAAAGATGGGATGCCACCAGGCATCTTCCTTAACAACTTTCCCTTGAAAGTGAAGGAGTTGTTGTACCTGGAGTGCACTGGTGTCATGAACCCCTGGGCTGCCTGCGCTGTCTCAGACCCCAATTTGGGGACCCCGCTGTGCCCATGTGCTGCAGCAGAGATGAGTCTGTGGGCTGGGGCAGAAACTGGCCTTGGCACGAAGGTAAATTGTTAAATCCAGAGCAGGATAAATGCGGAAGGAGAAAGCTGCCTAGCAGCCCTGTGGGCACTGGGGGAATAATCCTGACTGCTGCAAAACTTCCTCATGCTTGATGCAGCTTCTGCAAGGCAAGGAGATTCTTTTGTACCCCAATTAGTCTGGTGCTCAGCTACTTGTTGGGGTTTTTTAAAATTGTTAATTAACATAGAGTATCTTCAGGTCCAGATAATGTGATTTGAGAGAACAAAACCAAAGCAAAGGAGACCTCAGGGCAGAATTTTTCTGGCATACCCTGCACGTGAAGAATTCAGCTGGCGCTTGGCCGCGTTAGAGAGCGGCAGCTTTGGCAAGCGCCGAGGAATTTCCTGAGTTATGAAAAGAGCCCTGGGCACCAGAGAGATGGCAGATAAGGCACATCTTAGAAAATCATTGAAAGTGGAATTCTTTCCTGGTAAGTTGGTCACTTGATGTGGAAAGCACCTAGGTTTCTGTCAGCCCAAGCACAGCTGGAGCACCAAAAAAAGGAGAAGACAAATATGTAGAAAGCACATGATAAGAAAGTATTTTATCAAGACTTTTTAATTTATTTTGGTAGTAAGCTGAAATCAGTCATGCTTTCAGAATATTTTTGTTAGCTGATTTTTTTTTTTTAGTTGTAGTATTAGCAACTCCAGTGTGGTTGGAAAACAGTGATCATCTCTCTCTCTCTCAGAAATTCAAGAATCCCTCAGGCTTCTATAAATAACAGCAGGAGCCTTAAATGGAAGGGGAAGCACACGTGATAGTACAGTCCCCCAACCCCATATGTAAATCACATGGACTCAAATACTTGATCTGGTTAGAGAGAAGGATGGATTGAAGTGTTGATGGAGAGTGGTGTGAAGTGTGATAACTTCTAAATGCTCTTTTGCTGCTTTGGGAAGTGTAGCTTTTGTTGTGCTATGGCTGATGCTGTTGTTTAACTCTTTATAAAATTCTAGACCTTCTTAGCTCTAATGCCTTAGTGTTAGCATACATATGTATTTCTCATGGAAATGTCTCCTTTTCTGAAAGCAAGTTTAACTTTGGAGGTATATAGAGAGGAATGCTCCTCTGAACTGAAAATACATCTTGGGCCATCTTTGTAATATTTCCTGCTAACTAACACTTAGATTCTGCTGTCTCCTTATAATGCATCAGAATAGTAAATGTACATTTTCTTCTTTCTTGGGGGTAGGTGGGTGGGGGAAAGCCCAGACATTTTAAGTGTGTAGCTTTGGTTTGATTTCCTAGGCTTTGACAACTTCAGACTTTCACTTCTTCTTTTACAACTGCTTCATCTTTGATGATCTTTTATGTCTACTCATCTAAATAGACATGCTTATAAGTTTTCTGCACATTTGGTTTTTTTTACTGTTTTCCCTTTGCATCATTTTGGTCTGTTTTTTAAAATTGTATATAAAACCCACAAAAGTCAGTTGCACTTCATTCCATGTAGTTGTCGATTTAAAAAAAAAAATGGCACAAATAAAAGCATACCTTTTTGAAAAGATGTGATCTGTTTTACCTTTGTGTAATTTTTTTTAGCTGTATTTGTTGCCTTTTTAAAGTTTTTTTTCCATGCAAACCGTGGCAGTATGTGTAATACTAAATCCTTAACCCAGCTCATGTTGGTGGTACATGATCTCCAGAGGCTCAGCTCTGCATCATGCCAAGGGCTGATGTGGGCAGCCTGTCACAGGTGTGACCTGACCCCAGACAGTGTGAACAGCCAGGGGGAGGGATGATGGTGCTTTGCTGTTTTTTGGGAAGTGCTGGTGGCACACCAGTCCCTCCTGGCCAGGCTCTGCCTTCCTGTTGGTACTGAGGTGTTGGTCTGTGCTTGCAAACCTCAGCTAGGGCTGAAGAGCTTGAGGTGTGCTGGCTAGTTTGTTTTTAGTAATTCAGTACTTCCTTAAAATTAGTCAAGTGTGTAGTCTCTCCTTGAAGGTCATTTCTCAAGAACAGACATGAGTGTTAGTGGGTGTCAAGTTCGTGACATACTTCATGCAAATAGCTTTTTAAAATAAAAATTTGAGAAGCACACCTAAAGCCTTCCTCTTTCTGTAACATTACTTTCCTTTGCAGCTGAGCCATGGGGTCAGTGTTGAGAAGCAGCCCAAAAGCAAGCAGATGAGAGAAATCCATAGTTAATGCTTTAATCTGAATAGTCTTTTCTTTGTAAACTAAAGCTACATATTAAATTGTTTTCTTTGTCACTCATTTTCACTAGAAATAAACATTTATAGTTTCAAGGGCTAGGTGTTTGTGGTTGTTTTGATAGCTATCTGACTTCACTCTGCAAATATTATTTTGGTGTTCCTGCATACCTCTCCTGGTTTTCAGCTGCATGGGGATATATGTACAAAGGGGAGCTTGTGTAGCTGCATTTGTAGCTCTCTAGGGCTGGACCTCTCTGTGCTCACATTGCTTCTGTAACATCAGCTCTCTGAAACCATCAAGTGAGGATTTTTTAGTTATGTTTTGCAAAACTTTGTGGGGCAGAACTTGTGGTGACATCAAAGTGTCACTTTGCACATGGTTTTGGAGTCACAGGTCTGCTCTGGAGGGAACCCACCATGGTTAAAGCTGACAGCAGTGTCACTGGTTTCTCTTTTGTCCTCAGGTACTTTCTCACAACTTGTGCACAGTGTTAAACGTTCCCCATGATCCAGTGGCCTTGGAAGAGCACTTCAGGGACGATGATGAAGGACCAGTTTCCAATCAGGGTTACATGCCTTACCTAAACAAATTCATCCTGGAAAAGGTAAGTTCTGAATTCTCGTGCTTTCTTGTATCAGCTTTTGTTGCTAGAGTGTCTTTGTGGTAGCTGGTGCCTGCAGGAGGCTGCTGCTGGTGTGGAGACACTGGTTGGGAGTGTGTCTCTGGGGTCCCCATGGTGTGGCTACTCTGGGGAGCCTGTGCCTAAAAATGGAAGGGTGCACTGCTCTCCACATCTTGTATTTCCTGTTACATCTGGCCCTTGCCTAAGCTGTGTTCATGCAGAACTGTGCTCATATTAATAAGGAGTAGGCATCAGTTTGTGGGAATTGGGAGTGGTGCTGTGCCTGAGCCCCATCCCCAATGGGATACAGCTGTGAAAGGCAGGTGAGCAGTGTTGGAGGTGATGAGCCATGGAGTGCTGAGGGGTTACTGACCAATCACCAGAGGGAACAGAGGGCTCACAGGTGCAGTGCGTGAGCCTGAGGGGTGTGAAAGGTTGGGCTGAAGAACAAGAGCAGAGGCTTGCAGCCTTCTGAAATTGTGTAGTGATACTCTGTGTATTGTGGCTGTCTCAACTTTGACATGTGTTGTGACAATAAAGCACTTCAGCCTGAATTTATCTGAAAGTGTCTGGGAGCTGTAGTTTGTCCCACTTTATACTGCAGCTATAACAGATTATTGTCACAGACTCCTTTGCAAACAGAAAGGGTAAAAATATCTTCACTGTGTCACAAAGTGCTTTAATAAGTAGATCCCTTCAGAAGGTTACAGTGGGTGACATTAGGGCGTGTTGTGAAGTTCTGCCTTGCAAGTTCTTTCCTTTCATGTCTGAGCATTACTCAGTCTTCTGTTGTGCCTTGTTTCAGGAGAAACTCTGGAAAGCCAGCAGGGCTCTCCCTCTCCTCTCCATCATGTTGCAAAATAGGTGCTCACTGGGATGGAAAGTGAGGAAGCCCCAAACAATGATCTTCCTGCTTTTTTTTCTGTCTTCTGTTCACGTCCTGGGCTGGGTAGCGAAAGCAGCTCATGTGATGGTGGAAGCATCAGCTTCAACACCACTGATTTCTTGTACACTTGAGGGCCAGCCCCAGAAACCCTCAGACTTTGATGTTGTGGCTGCAGAGATACAGAGCTGTTTACTCTCTTTCATTATGTGAAGAAGTCCTGAACTGACATACTGCCGAGAAATCCAGTGCAGCAACTGCAGATGATGCAAACTCCTCAGCCCCATTTGCTGATTTCTGCTCCTCCATTTAATAGTGGTGGAAAATGTGATATATATAATGCAGTCTGGCAGCTTCTGTCTAGCTTATCAGCTTCTATCTAGTTTATCAGCTTCTCTGCCTCTCTAGTCTGTGTTTCTCTCCCACCTAAAGAGTATGAGAGACATGCCAAGTGTCCTGTTTGATGTGTGGGAGTTGTTGGCCTTTATTACGCGTAAAGGTAACTCTTTAATGTCTTGGTTGTTTGATGCTGAAGAATCCTGCTTTGTCCCAAAGAAGTTGTGATAGCCTTTCTGCTTCATCTTGGCTGTCTGAGATCCTGTGGAGACCAAGCAGTCTTTTTTTCCAAATTCTGGGATAAAAGAATAGGCCTTAATTTATTTTGACCACAGGATTACAGTGAGAGAGGCTGAACCACAGTGGGTTAATGCTCTTTGTAGACAGTAGCAAGCCATTAAATAAAGAAAACCCAAAAGAGATATGTATGGCTTTTTCAAATATAAAAATGCTTTATTGTTAAAGGATGTTTCTAGGGAGAATGGTTATGGAAATGAAGAGCAAAATGGCATTTAAGTAACACTTTTATATTAAAATGACAGACCTGCCTATGTAAGTAAGTAGGTATGAAAGGAAAGAGCATGACTGTATAATTTCTTGTTTTGTTTTATTCATATACTGATCTGGCTTCCAGTGATTGCCTGATATATCCATATCATCAGTTAATCTTAAAAGATGAAAGTGTTAAGGAACAAGATTAAATTATCTATAACTTGATGTTATTTGATCTTGACTAAATGCTTGTAAATAAGAAAATTAGTGAAGTTGTTTGGACAGAAGGCTGTCTTTTTGGACAGGAAAAACCTTGTCTGTGACTTCTCTTCTTTTAGAGATGAGTTTACATCAGTGCCAAAAGACAACATGCAGTGGGATGAAGTCACTGATTCGTTGCGTGTCTCTTTGTTTAAAACAAACAAACAAAAAAAGCAAACAAGAAACTCCTTCTTTATTTTTCCAAGGCGTAATCTGTTATTTTAGATGGGGTGATAGTAGAAAAATTGCTGTTAGTATATTCTAGTAAGCAAAGCTACTAAAAAAGGAGTCATGCTTTATACTCCAGATACACAGGAAGTTCTCAATTTCCATACAGTGAATTAATTAATTGATTCAAGCAAGAGCCACTGGCTCAAGAAAGGTTTTTTGATCTTAAGGTATTTGCTCTAAGACATTCATAAATATTTTATGGATGATTTCTTAAATTTCTTTTTAAATAGTTGTATAGCTGTGACTTAGAATTTTATTGAGAGGACTTTGTAACCTTTGGAAATAACTTATATTGTACTCTTAAATGCAGTTGTAATTTTTAATATTTTTTTTGGTGCTAACTTATCCTGCAATAAAGCTTCCTTATATAGAACCAAGGAATCATCAAGAAAGGGACAATTGTGAAGAAAGACAAGGTAGTTAAGTGAGGTACATTTGCTGCAACTAATTTTCTTTATTCACATACGTAATTTCAGTAAATTATTTAAGTAATTAGTACTGTCTGATTGATGATTTCCAGTGTTATCCATCTTGTTACTCAGCAGATACATCTGTCTAGAATTTTCTTGTGTCAGAAACAAAACCTGTAAATGTCTCTTTCAGGAGGGAGCTGTGATTTGCCAGTATAGTGTCTTCATAATTTGTTTTGCTTGGTTCCTTAACCATATTTTAGCATGTTATGTTATTTACAATGTCTGTAAATCCAATTGGAAATGTTTCCCTTTCAGTGATGGCAGTGGTGCCATTTTACAGCAGGCCTTATTCAGAGCAGGGAACAGTCCTGGTGAGAGGAGACATTGTTCAGACCTCAGGTTATCTCATCTTCCAGGCAACTTCATGAATGCAAGTTACACTACCAATGCTTGTTATATTTTTGGAACTGTTCTTTTGGAGAGCCAGGGCTTGTGTGCTGATGTTGTTATTGTCCTGAATAATTCCTAAACAGTGTCTCTGTTCTGTATGACACATGGGCCCCACAAAGTCCTTTTCAGAACCAAATCTGGATTCTGAAAAAAGGGCTTTCATGTCTAAAGTGGGGTTGCTGGCACTGTGGGACCTCTTCCCCTGTGGTGAGATGGTTCTGAAACCTCCTGCTCATCTGGTGCACAGTCCTGGTGGCAGGGACGTGCTGTGGGTGACCTGGGCTTTGACAGGAGTGTCTGAGGGGCTGCACTCCTGCTTTGCTGTGGTAGCAGAACCCATGCACCACCAGGGCATTTCCTGGGTGGAACTGCTCACTGTCAGGGTGGGAAAAGCACTTCTAGAAGAGAAGTCCTGGTTCATTGGGCAGGGTGGAGAGGACACAGAAAAAGCACAGGCAACAGTAGCCAAGGAGTGAAGCTGGTGAATAGAACAGAGGAATCCTGACTTCTAGCCCTTCATCCAGAGGGTGTTTGTCCATTCAGTTGGTGTTTCATTCAAGATCTGTGTTTCTTGTGCAAACAAGACAGATGCTGAGCTTGTGACTGGAGCAGCTCTGGCTCCTACAGCTGCCACCTCATTCAAAGGACAGCTGTAGCCTCTGCAAGCATGCAAAGTCTATGATTTTTGTTGATATCTCACTCTTATGCCTGGAGACTATTCTTGTCATCAGGTTGGTTTCTTGTTTACTTCTGTATTTATTTTTTTATCATTTTTCCCCTCCACTCATATCAGTTCATCGACTTCCCATGTCTGCCACTGACTGAGCCAGTGTGGTGTGGTCACTGTATTTGACTGCTTGCCAGACTGGGCAGGAAATCAGACAGTTTGCATTGGTGCTCTTGAGGCACCTGAGATCTGTGGTTTGGCTTATCTTTAAAAAAACCACTGACCATTACTGATCTCACTACCACAAGAGTACAAGAACCTGTTCCTTAGATGTGTCTTCCAGAATCTCAAAGGGGCTTCCATTACAGTGCCCAACATGCTTTAATCAGTAACACATTCATAAAGAAATAGCATTGCCAAGTTATGGGGAGATAATAAATAGGTTTAATGTATAACTTAAACAAGGGTTTGAAAATAAAACAGTAAATGAGAGCTCTTACCTGTATAAATAATTCTCAGATCTGTAGATGCAGCTGCTGGATATGATAAAGGATAATGAAAACAAGAGGGATTTTTGTATCAATGAGGTGAATGTTTGCAAGCTTGAGAAAAAGCAAAGATTTTAAGTGGATTAGCATTTGAGGAAAAAAATTATTCTGTGTTTATGAGTACTTTTGAAGAGTTAGTTTGAGTAATGTGAAGTAAAAAACATACTAAGGGTCCTTCCCAATTGTTGCCTCCAATATTGCTTTTAGCATATCCACATGTGGATTTGGCTATGCTGGTTTCCAAATTTGCTATATAAAATCTCAATAAGTCAGTGCAATAGGAGGGCAGCTGGAACTGAGTTCTGGAGGTGGTTTGGAAGCTAATGTGCCAGAGGAAACACAGAATGCACTGTAGCCTCCTTTCCATGGAGTCAGAGTGTGATTAACTCAACCAGAAATTGGAGGTTGGATGTCAGTTTTGCTAGGAGGAATTCCTTATTTTACCCCATGCAGGAAGTCAGACTAGGTTGTTACAGGGCTCTTTTTGGGCCTTGGTGTTTCATGCAAACTGCAATTTTCTGCTGCTTTTTGTATGATGAAACCTGACAAACATTGTCTGTCTGCTATTCTGTGCCATTTGTGCATATCAATTTGTTGTTCTTCAATTTCTTCTCTTTAGGTTCAAGGGAACTTTGACAAAGTTGAATTCAACAGGATGTGCTGGACTCTCTGTGCTAAAAAGAACCTCTCTAAAAGTCCTTTGCTGATTAGTGATGAAGATGCATTTAAAGTGTGGGTTATTTTTAACTTCTTGTCAGAGGACAAATACCCTTTAATCATTGTACCTGAGGAGGTAAGAAACAAAAATTTAAGCTCTTTAACTCCAGTTTGCCAAATGTCTCAGTTGAACTGGTTTAAATGTGATACTTTTTAGAGATTTAAGAGGAAATATTGTTTAATTTAAAATTTTTATTCCCCTCTTTTACTATTTATTGTAAGGCCAAGGATGCATTTCTCTGTCTTCTTCCAGGGTGGATATATGGGGATTTCCACAGGATACTTGAGATATTGGTAGCTGTGTGTGTCTGTCATTTAAGCAGCCCGGACTGAACAGGATAAACAGGATATGCATGGATGTGATCTTTAATCACTGCACTTGCTTATAGGTGGTTACAGTTTTACAAGGTCCATGTGATTCTGAAAAAAAATGCCCTCATGTTCTGTGTTATTGTGACTTGCAAGATGAGTCTTCAGTCTCATGTCACTCTCCTGACAGAAAGGACAATACAAAATTTTCTGGTGGTGTCTGTTTCTGATAAAACCAGCCAGCCCCTGAACACTCTTGCTTGAGATGTCAGAGGGAATAACACCAGAGAGATCTCTTTATATTTGCAGTTCATGAACAAGTATTGGCAGCACTCAAATAGGTATTTTAACCCTAGAGCAAGATTTTGGTATCTCCACTATTCTCCCCTTTGGGATGGGTGGGGAAAGAAGCAGAAAGATCAGAACTGTTGGCATAAATAACCCCTTGCAAAACTGTGTATGCAAATCTCAGGGGTTTGCAGTTCAGCACTGGAGGATGGAATAATAAATATTTGCAAGTGTTGAACAGCCAGGGATCAAAACAGTCTGATTAACATGCTACTCACGACATAACTGTTGGACTCCAAGGTGCTGTGCCAAACCCTCCAGTACAGATAGCTCTCCTATCAAAATAAACTCTTCAGTTTTGCTTTCTCACTCACTTTTTAGCAGGACACTTTCACTCTGCACATTTCTAGTTTTTGCCAGACTGGCCCGTGCCAAGGCCCTACCTGGCATGCTGTATTCCCATGAGAAATGAGACAGTCTTCTTGCTTGCTGTCCCATTTGTTTCTGTTGGTTCTGGGAAATGGAGATCATGGTTATAAAAGCTAAGACAGCTCCTTTCTTAGTGCTGCTATATTTGGCTCAGTAGGTCAGAGCCACTAAAAGATGCCAAAACTGGGATTGAAATCCACGTCTCTGGTTTGCCAGTGTGTTCCCTGCTGTGCAGCCTGGCTTACCTGTGGGCAGACATTTCACATCTCCTGCATTGCTGGCACAGTTAAAAGCTTCAGCCCTGCCAGCTCTGGGGTGTTGCTCCCCACTCCTTCTCCACCAAGGAAGCCCCAGATTGGTGCTGCCTTCTGTGGCTGCTGCCAGGTAATGGCAGCATGTCTGAGTGTTGGCAGATGTGCTGCAGAGTCAGCACTGAGCTGAGAATTTACTGATTTCCAGATTTTCTATGTGCTGTTGTTTGCTTTCCTTCCCATCCTCAATGTCCAGGTTAACCTGTACTGCTCTTCTACTTGGACTAGTTTAAAAAATCTGATTGTGGATCTATGTCTGCATCTCCTTGATTACATCAAGATTTAAATTGTGCAATTTGTTTAAAGAAAGCTTACAGAGCCTGACTGACAAAGAAAGGGTGCTCTGTTCTTATCATATACAATGCCTGTATTCACTCCACCTTCCCTCAGACCACACAGGTAATGTAATCACCACTGGAGGAATGCTGCCTGTTGAACTCACTCCTTTCTGCTTTGCACTGCTCCTGCATCAGGTTCTCTGTACTTCTGGAAAATTTCCCATTTACTCATCTGCTCTCTGCACAAAATTCCCAAAGTAAAAATGCAAAGTCTCAGTTTCAGCCAGTTTTGCTTTTTCTCAGATGTTTTGTATCTGCCTTTTTTACAAAATGCCTTGCAGGTCATGTGTACAGCGAGGGGATTTCTGTGAAGTGAAGGAGAGGAGGAGTGGGATGGAAGCCCAGCCGTTTGTGCTGTTGATGTTTTGCTGAGAGCAGTGTGAACCTCTCATGTGTGACTGCCCTTCCCACCCAGGGAGCAGGCTCTCCTGCCCTGCCCTGCTCCAGTCCTTGGCTGAGAGTATTGCAACACACCATCCACTGCAGTTCTGGCTCAGGGATCCAGCTGTTTGTGTGGGATCCAGCTGTTCCCCCTCCTGCCTCCCTTCCACTTGTTGGCTTTTGTTTTGGTTTTTTTTGTTTGTTTCTTTTCCACTTTATAAATAACTGAGAAACTTGCCACATGCTTTCAGTTTGGAAGGGTGATCCCTTGAAGATTTTTGCATACTATCTTGAAAATTACAAGACTTCTTTTTGTCTCCAGTGAATGTATTAACACAACTTCATGTGGCTGTAAGGATGCCTTTTCTTCCTCCTTGGAGCAGCTGCTCTTTGAAACATGCTTGGGAGTCTGAATTTCCTCCTTTTTTTTTTTTTCTTTCTTTCTTTTTGCAATTTTTAAAATGAGATAAGTGGTTTCTGCTGTCACTTCATAGATTTCATATCTCATATCTGAAAAAGCCTCCTGCTTGAGTGCAGTTTCACCTTATTTGCACTGTGATTGAAGCCACTGTCTTTCCTTCTTGTCCATGTCATGTACTTTTGCACTGGTTCTGTTGGGCCTTTCCTTTTGGACAGCTGAATGTGGCAGGGCTGTTACCCCCAGCTACAAAGTGTAGTACTACAAAGTGTAAATCTTGATTCCCTGCCCAAGGGTTCAATGGGCAGCAAGTGGGGAATGGCTGCAGCTCATCCAGAGAAGGGAGAAGAGGCTACTTTGGAAAGGATTCAGAGATGCAGGCTGAGAAGAGCTTTAGGCAGAGCAAGGTGAGGAAAGGAGCTGCCAGGAGAGAATCTGAAAGCAGTGGAGAGGTGATGCAATGGCCAGAAGCTGCTTGTTCAGTAGAGGCCAGGCTGAAAGCCAGAGGCAGGACTGGCCTGTGCTCCTCCCCTGCCCTGGAAGGAGGGATGCCAGCCCTGCACTTGAGGGGGATAAGGTTTGTAAATCCAGTGTGGGGAAGGGATTGGGGTGGGGTATGCAGTTTTGGAATGTGACTTCAAGCTTGAGAGGATCCCTCTGTGTTACAGGGAGAAGTCAGGTGACAGAGAGACAGGAGACACAGAGACAGATGGTTACAGGGGGCACTGGGCACAGCTGGGAATGGCCTTGCACTCCAGTGTTCCTTCTGCTGCCTACTGGTGGGCAGCTGAGAGCACTTGGAGGAGCTGGGAAGGAACAGAGATCCATGAATGTCTATTTTGCAAGGGTGCTCATGTGCCAAGGCAGAAAGCAGGGACTGGCTGGGAGCTCCTTCCCCTCCCCACAGCCAGATTTTCCATTAGATCATCTGAGATGCGGATATCCAAGCGTGTGTCTCCTTCAGCTCTTGCAGGCATTACCTCTTCCATGAGAAGGAAAAAAGGTGGAGAGAACTGAATCCATAAGAGGAGAAATATTTCTGTTTGTCATGAGCTTTCCTTACAAGTCACCTCTTAGTTGTTACAGACTCATTTGTGCGCCTCGGTAATTTTTAACCAGACATTTTCTGTTTTATACAAAGGTTTTCAGGCACTTCCCCTTTCTTATTTCTGGACATGTGACTGCAGCCTTGGGAATGCTTTATCGTTGAGAGCTGTGGTGTGTGGTTAGTTGTGTTTCTGGGCCATTCTTCGTGGTGAAACTCAGAGATACACACACTGCAAGCTGCATACTTAGTGTTGTAATCCAGTGTTCACAGTTTGTTTCAAGTAAGCCAAACATTTGCTGCTTTTGGCTTTGTGAGGAAAGATTTGTACAGTCATTTTTCACTTGTCCTGTATTCTACAAATTTATCAACAGATGGCATTTCTAATCCTCCTAAGATGAGTAACTCTTATGTGGCTTTTTGTGCATGTCAGAATGAGGTGATGTTTTCTTAGCTTGGGGAGGTGAGACTGATCCAGTGGTGATTCTTCTGGAACGTGTTTGTATGGCCATGTTCACTTCCTTGTTGTGCATTCTAGTACCAGAAACTGAAAGAATGAATGAAATACTGGGAATTGACCCTTGGCCCTTCAGAAACGACATTGAAACTGATATAAAGAGAATGAAAGCTGCTTGTGTGGGGTTTTAATTGACTCATGATCTCTAAAAGTTGATGACAGTGGTTAGGAAGATTTTTAGTCACTTGGTTAGGAGGACTTGCTATTCCCATTTCACTGCCTTCTTCCTTGGCTGCTGCATGAAGTAGTTTTCAGCTCACACAGCAGGTTGTTTCTTGAGTTCATCTTTACTTTACTTTACATCACTTAACACTGATTTAATATTAAAAAAAAAGAAACCAGGTAGTGGCTTACACTGGATAATGAACACAGTTTTGCTGGTGGAAAGGAAGAAACAAATATTGACTTGAAAGTAAGCGATGTTCTGATGGGATGAAGAAAATGAATTGATGATGACTGTGAGAGGGGCTATGACTGCTTGCAAGGTTGTGGCCCAGTAACATATACTCCCACAGAATTTTGTGCAATGTGAGTGGACTTTTAACATCTGCTCTGTTAATATCACAAACCTTATTTGAATAGTGTGAACCAGAATAGCCTTGTCTGCTGTGCTCTGCTGGGCATGAAGGCCTCCTTGGCATTATTTTTCTCATTCTAAGAGACCCACTCATATAATCAGAAATATTTGTGAAAAATCTATCATGCTTCAGTTCCCATGGAAGCAGGAGTACTTGGAAGAGGAAAGCAAATAGACACTGAAACATGGGGAAAATAAAGTGCCCTCTGAAACAAGCTCCCAAACAGATTCGTGTTAGAGCTCTGTCCTTTGTTACTATTTTTGATTTCTCTTGGCAAAATTCTGGCTGAAAAGTTTGAGACGGAAGCTAGTTTTGGTAGTGTGGGTCCCTACTGGTGTGTGTAGTGTTAACAACTCCCTGGTATTTTTGCACCTGTATTTTGCATACTTTTGACCTGAAAGCAAGGCCCTGTTAAAATAGCAGCAGATGTCGCTTCACTTTTGATTTTTAGCCACAAGAGTAGTTTATATTTGAGACAGGAGACTTAATTTGTCAGTTATTTGCTGGGTTGACATGTCTCTGTGGAGGAGGGGAAATGTCATTTGCTCTCAGGGGTTCCTCATTTGAGCACCTAATGGGTGATTGCTATTTGCTTTCACACTGCTGCAACTTATTTCTTTGTATTTACCTCATACTTCCATGTTCATACTGTGCAAAAGTCACTGTTGCTGTTGAGCAGATAGATCAGATAAACCTTTTCTGGCAACTTTGGTTAGCCATGTATGTGACTGAATTCAAGATAAACCTTTAATTTTTTTTAAATTTTAGAAATTGAATTGTAACATGCACAGGTAATTTTTCAGTTAGGAAGAGTTAATGTAGTTTAAAATAATGAGTATTTTATGTACTTTAGTACTTTATGGAGGTTGTAGGATATTTGTATTCATGTAAGTGACTTGTAGGTGAGGGTTGACAGACTTAAATGGTTAAATCTAATCTATGAACCAAAAAAAGATAAAATGTGTACAAATGACAGTAAAGGAAACAATGTGTTGACTTATTTTTAGTGTATTCTATGATAACATGTACTAGCCAAGAGTTTTGCATTGCATCATTTCCAGACCATTCGTTTGATCCACATTTTATTTATATGGCTTGAGCAAAGATGGGAAAAAAATGATTCTGGTGTGCTCTTTGTGTGTGTGTCTGCAAGTGAGACCTGATACTTTTAGATAATTAACCAAAGGAATTTGAGAGTTTGAGGCCTTAAGTTGCCATGCCTCAAGCAGTGTAAGAGGTTGTGAAATTCTGGAACAATTAATTTTATAGTTGGAGTTCTTTTTTTTTTTTTTTAATGACTATTACTTTGTAGCATTTTGGCAGATATGTTATCTACCTAATTAAATCTGAGTTATTTTAGCTTTCTTTCCAGTTAAAGTCCAGGGTCATAGATCAGGACTGATGCTGCTCAAAGGGAATGAGCAGACTGGCAGAATGTGTTTTGAACATGGGTAAAAAAATCAAAGTTTTAGGAGGTTTGAAACAGCTTTTCAGTGCTCCTGTTCTTGCACTCTGTGAAGGCTTTTTTTGGGTTGGGTTTTTTTTTTTCCTATAAAACATGTCTGGAGTAGGAAGTAAGCTGCTTCCTGCCAGTAACTGAATACTGAGGATTTATGGTAGTCAATCTTGAAAGCCTTGAATTGTCTTTTTAACGTAAGGATTTTGGAGAGTGGAAATCAGCAAAGATTATTTTAAAGAGTGAATTTGAATGCCACTTCTGCAGAGGCCTCTGTTAGACCGTATCTTTGCTGGTAAGAACTGCACAAGAAAACTTACTGAAGTGTCTTTCTTGGTGAAGCTGACATGAAAAACATTGCTCTCCACAATTTCTGGGGGCACATTCTGTGCCTGGCTGGGCTGTCTCCTCCTAAGAGAGACTTGAGGAGGATGTGCCAGGCACAACTTGGAGGTGTGTGCACTTCCAGCTCATTCAGAGGAGCAGAACTTTCCTCCTGGTGCTGCAGCAGCTTTGCAGCTTCTCCTTTTGCTGCAGCATTACCACATGCCCTGGAGCAGGGGCTGTGACACCAAGACCTGAAATAGTGGGAAAAGCACATCCCTCTGCAGGCTGGATTTGGGATTTACTGTGCTACTGCACACTTGTGTTTCCTGACCCATAGGCATGGGGGAAAGGAAGGGATTTGGCTGTTGGAGGAGAAACAGCAGCCACAATATATTGAGGCCTGGGAGTCCTTGTGGTGAAATGTGTGGGGAAATTCTTTATTTCTTTGTACTCCCAGATCTCTTGCATAGGGACTCAAAAGCCTATTAGACCAGCTATTAGATCTCTGAGCTGTAGCAGGAAGGGCCTCACCTATTATTTCATTTAGAGAGTCATTAAAAGCATTTTGCATGTCCTCAAAGCTGCAGGTAGGTTTACTTTAAAATAATGCAAATGAACATTGATGAGTTTAAAACCAACAGAAAAAAAACAGACTGAAGAGCCCCAGCCTTCTTTGCTTCTTTTTCATTCTTGTGTTTGTTTTGACTAGTGTTACTGGTGTCACTGTCCTGTGCATGGTAATGCTTACAGAGTGATGAAAGGACAAGGAGAATTTATTTGGGAAACAAAAGCAGATGTGAAAGATTTTTTCTTTCATTTCTTTTGATACAACTGTCAGTATTGTGTCCAGGGATGGAGTGCTTGAGAGCTAGAGAAGAGGGATCAGGTGTAGATCATAGCTTGGTCATTTTTCATTTCACTTCTAGTCCAAACAGCTTTCACTTCTAGTCCGAACAGCCTTTTTTTTTTTTTTTTTTTTTTTTTTTTTGTTATTTGTTTGCTTTTTTCTTACAAAATACTTTCTGAAGCTTCTTGCTTTCTCACCCTTCAGTCACTCACAGTTTGGAAGCCGTTGCAGGGAAGGTCCCATGTGTTCTGTAGGAATCTGAAATATCAAATGAGGCTGTCAGGTTCAATTCTTTGTTGTCATGTGAAGAGAGTAGCTGAGGGATGGGCTTGGCAGTGAAGAGTTCAGCTGGGACAGGAGCTTAAAACCTTTGTTAATTGAACCACCTACGTTTGGGGGCCTACATGTGAGCATGGGAAACTCGCTGTAATGGGAGTCTCTGGAGACGCTTCCTTTACAGCTCTCAAACACTTGCAAATGTGTTTTTCTGCAAACGATGGATTTCTGCTTGTGGTTCTGCACAGATTGAGTATTTACTGAAGAAGATCACGGAAGCCATGGGAGCAGGCTGGCAGCAGGAGCAGTTTGACCATTACAAGGTCGCTCTCAACACCAGTCAAGAGGGACTCTCGGCGTGGGAGCTGATCGAGCTCATCGGGAGTGGGCAGTTCAGTAAAGGAATGGACAGACAGACAGTGTCCATGGCAATCAATGAGGTCTTCAATGAGCTCATTCTAGATGTACTCAAGCAGGTAAGAACCATAGAGAACCAATGTTTTAAAGTAGACTTGTTTATTGCTTTAGTTAGAAAATGTTCAATTTATGCTCAAATTTCTTTATCCTATTGAATGATGAACAGGAGGAAATTAGGTAAATTATCTGTAAGGGTTCTTTAATATGACCTTATTTTTGTAAAAGAAATTGTGCTGCTATTCAGATTGTTGTAATTACAGCAGTATTATGAACGAGTTGCTTTTTGGGAGAGCTTGCTTTTAGAAAGTGAAAGAAGTGGGCTCTGACTTGAAATATTACCTTTTTTACACTAGTACCAGCTGCTTGTTAGTTCACAAAATAGCTGCATCATGCTCTCAGTTCTGTTTACAGCTCTTCAGTCTTTGGAAATGCTTTTCTATAGTTTCGGTTATGCTGTAGGAAATGCAGCTGTGCTGGACACAACTTCTATTTTTAAACAAGGGGGTCTGGACCAGGGTATTTTGGCTTCTCAAGTGCCCCACTTCAGCATTGCAGAAAGGTGTGCAAGAGCTCCAGAGGGCTGTCCCTTCTTGTTCTGCTTAGCAGGCTACATGACTGACAACTTATTTACCTGTACTCTGACTCCAGAAATCATGCTGGCCTTTGTATTCTTAGCAAACTTCTTTCTTCAGGTTTCCAGTGACTGGATTATCAGTTTAGGAATGCCTTTAAAAACTGCATTTCTTTCATGGGAATTTGAAGTACCACAGGGACCTGAGGGGTCACAGCAGAGTTTACCTAGACAGCTCTTTAAAATTGACTTTTACCTGACAAGAGAATTTTTTTCATCTTTGATTTCTTGGTGAGGAGAGAAACAAAGGATTTCTTGGCAGGCTTTCCTAAGCTGTTCTGAAGAAACCATCAGAAGGTCTTGGCACAGGAAATTCTTTCAGAATACCCACAGAACAATGCAAAAGTCTATTTTTGTTAACTGCTGGTTGCCTGTTGGAGGTGAGGGCTGGGGACACACACATGTAAAGTCAGTTGAGGGCAAAATGAAGTCATTCTGCTGTTTGGTACCATGAAAATAAATTAACCAGTGTCAGTTGAATCCTACTTGAAAGTTATGAGGAAATCTGATTTCTTTTCAGTTTTGATAGTGCATTGTGTGTCTTCCCCCACACCTTTATTTTTGTTGTTTGTTTTGTGTCTCCTTTCTTTCCTCTCCTGGTGCCTGGGCTTCTTTCTCAAGGATGTCTGAGTGCCTTTGAATGGTTCCTTGGCACTTAAAAATAGTTTGTGTCAAGATTTGGCCCTATGCCTCCTGAGCAGTTTGGACACTTACTGGCCTGGTGGAGGGCAGAGTTCTGTGTGATTTCAGTATCCTCACACCTTGTTGGTTCAGAGAATTGTCCTGTTTATTGCAGTAATCACATAATTGCTTCAAGGTATTAATTAATGACACATGGTCTCGTAACCAAGCATTGTGCTACCCTTCTAAACACATCCTGGATCTGTAAGGCTTACAGAGGGCAGCAGCAATAGTTAAATTTGTGGTATTTAATGTTCTGAAAGATGTGTCTTTTGTGTGATGGTTGGTGTGAAAAAGCTCCTGCTTTTCAAGAGCTCTCAATGGGTTCTTGGAAGGTGAGAGGCAGCTGATACTGAAATAATAGGTAAATATGTTGCAGAAATTTGAGGGGAAAGTATTAGTCTGACTTGGCTTTGAAAGCAAATTTGGTAATTCAGGAAAGGAAAAAAACCCCTGGCTCTGACTTAGACTGTGCAAAGCATGAAAGATTGAAGCTGCAGGAGTCCTTCACATGACCTTGCAACCAGCCAGAGCTCAGCCCCGAGTGTGGGGGGGGCAGACAAAGCTGTGCATTCCTGGTGTGGAGCAGGGGAGTGGGATGGCACCTGGGAATAGGCACGGCCTTGGCTCTGGACACGTTTCAGTGGCTAGAGAAGCTGAGCACAGATAAGCTCTATGTGTAGGGGTGGCTTGGGTTTTTGCTTGGTTTGGTTTGTTTTTTAAACAAGAAAGCTTCTTTAACTGTTTGAATGTTTTCTTACCCCTCAGACCTGTAGAGAAAGATATCTTTGGATTCAATATGCCACAGCACATTTCTTTAGTATATATATTTTTTATATATATATATATATATATATATATACACACACACACACCAGTTATAGATGAAAGCCATTACAGAAAAATGTTCCATGGTCTTCTTTCCAACTTCTTCATCCTCTTAATCTGGAATACTCTGGATACAGAGTATACTTTCTATAATACTTTCTATATGACTTGTTCATAGCTTATATTGATGTTGGTGTTTCAGTTTTATCTGTGATTTGACTTTTTTGGAAGTTAACTGTCAGACAAGAGTATGTAAGTATTTGGGGAATATGATTACAGAAATGGGAGGTACCACTGAGATACTGACTAACTTTGAAATTGTTTGGGGCTATGAGGTAACTTTTCTGTGGGCTTTGTTGGGTCTTTACATCTTTACATAACCAAAAAAGCAGATGGTTCAGCAGTGGACAGGCATTTCAGCTGCTCTCTTGCTTTTAACAGGGCTACATGCTGAAAAAAGGTCACAAACGGAAAAATTGGATGGAACGATGGTTTGTGCTAAAACCCAATATTATTTCCTACTATGTAAGTGAAGATTTAAAGGAAAAGAAGGGAGATATCATACTGGATGGCAACTGTTGTGTAGAGGTAAAAGCACTCCAAAAACAGTGTATGTTTCTAAAGATCAGAGTGACTCCTTTTTTGTGTGTGGGATTGACTCCTGGTGGTATCTTTTAACAGAGCTTTTTTTACTTCATATGACACCAGCTCATAAACACCCTTTTAATAAATGCTCTTAGTGCTGGTATTTCTATCTCTGTGACACATAGGTGCATAGATGCTGCTTGACTTTACAACTTAGATTTCAGTGTTTGCAAAGCTAATCTTTATTGTTACCTGTTCTAGGCCTTGCCTGACAAAGATGGAAAGAAATGCCTTTTTCTCATCAAATGTCTTGATAAAACCTTTGAGATCAGTGCCTCTGATAAAAAGAAGAAGCAGGAATGGATTCAAGGTGAGGTTTCAGAAAGGCTAGTTATGTGAAAGTCAAGGTCAGTGGAATTCTTACAGCAGTGCTTTGTTCAAATTTGAAATTCATAGTCTTGTGATTTTTTGATATCTCTGTTTTGGGCACATCTGTTTTGGGATCTTTAAGGGGTCTGAGACTCAGGGGGAACTAAGGATCCACATAAGGGAAAACAGTTTTTGTCATGTAGGTGCCTCCATTCAGGCAGCCATAACCAAAATGAAATGGTTGTTATTGTTGTTTTTTATATTGACTGTACTTCTAGGGATGGGGAAGGGAAGCAGTTTTGTAAATCATTGCTTTTGGGGAGAAAGGGAAAGCTTGTTCATTTTGGCACTGTAAAATACTGGCTTTGGTTGTACAGTTTACTTCAAATAGTATGGTTTGGTGAGCTGAGGATAAAGCTGGGAATTAGGGCTTGCTTTTCTATTCCCACAGTAAAGGTGTTCCTCCTGTGAGACCTTCCCAGATATGTGATGGGTACATCCATCTGCAGAGTGAGGTAGAAGCCCTTGCAAAGCTGTTGTTCCCAATGCCATTGAAGAATGTGCAGCAGTTAAATATTTGGAGCTGTGGGCTTTCATTTGCACTTCCCTCTTTACCTGCAGCATGTGCTTATTGCACCAAAGTATTATGAATTATTCAAAAGGAGACTTTTTTTTTTATTGTTGTGGTATGTGAATGACATACCAAAATCATGTGCCACTCCTCAGCTTTTCTGTCTTAAATATTTTGTCACTGCATGTAAGTGAATGAGAGCTACTGTCTTACTGGGAGAAGTTTTCCCTTGGAGTATCTGTAAGAATTCAGTGTTTAAGGTTGGCTCTAGGGAAGATGGTTAACACTTTACTCCTTGGTAAGTCACTGAGTCTAGCTAGGAAGAAATCCTCAAGTGTTGGGTTTTTTGTTGCAGCCGGGTGTATGAGTGACTCCTATATCCATAGCCTGTTACAAATCAATATTGGAATTGACATAGTGCAGTGGAATTGCATTATGTCAATTGCATTGGACTTATCCTTGTGGCACACAGCCAGCACTGAGAGCCAAGTGCCTTTCACTTCTGTCAACACACCTTTGTGCTGACAGCCAGCCTGATGAGAATTAGGACAATTGACAACAGTGCTGATTTAAAAACCCATTGAAAAATCCCCAACCCCAGAGCCAGCAGAGCACAGCACTGCAGAGTCTACCCCGAGAGTTGAGCACTGCCCTTCCCGGTTCCCTCTGTCCCTGCAGCCATCCAGAGCACGGTGAGCCTGCTGCGGGCGGGCAGCGCTCCCCCGCACAAGGAGGCGCGGCAGAAGCGCAAGGAGCTGCGCCAGAAGCTGCAGGCGGAGCAGGAGGAGCTGGAGCGGCAGATGAGGGAGCTGCAGGCGGCCAACGAGAACAAGCAGAAGGAGCTGGAGACCGTGCGCAAGGTGGGAGCGGAGTGCCGGGATTCCAGCCTGGAGCTCGGTGCCTGTGGCTGGACTGGGCTCAAAGCTCAGTGCCTGTGGCTGGACTGGGCATCTCTGTGCTCTTCAGGCACATGGAGCAGACTCCTCCAGGGCAGCTGTGCTTGTTTCAAACCCCTGTACTGAGCAGTCTGGTGAAAAAGAACCTGCCATCTCTGTGGATGGTGTCTGCAGACAGGAGAGACCAATATTTTCAGTTGCTTTTGGGCTTTTTGTTTTCCTTTTCTGACAGACACGTGTCAAACATGGGGCTTTGCATGAAGATTTTCTTCTGTAGTTTACCCAAGTTTTATTATGTTATTTGTATGTTTATGGGAACTCTTCCCACAGATTAGCTTCTATAATTTCTATCTTTAAAAACAAAATATGTGGCTTTTCTTACTTTTAGTGTGGGGTGTGTCTTGAGAACAGCTTAGAACTCAATATTCTAATTCAAGCCCTCCCCCCTTGCTGCCTTACATTTTGGCTGCTGAGTCCCTGCTGCTAGAGCAGTCCAGGTCTTCCTTTGTTTACTCTACATGTCTCCACTACCTCCCTAAATTAATGTGAGTCTTTTGCATTCCCATTTAGGACAAATCTGTATCAATGCTTGAGTTTTTCCTAAATAAAACCCACCAGTTTAAGCCCTTGGGAAACACTTCAGTGATCTTTGCAGCTATAAATATTGTGAGGGCATTTAGGGTTTTAAGTCTAGAAAGCTAACAAAATTTTTAAAACCCACAATTTTCAAGTCTTGTCATTGTCACAATTTGTTGCAAGGAGAAATTTGTCTTTTTTAAAATTAGTCTTGCACTGACAATCCTGATGTAGGTATTATTCTGTTTGTCTTAAATGGAGTCTGACAGTGGAAAACCATCTTTAAATTTAATTTTGGCACCTGTAGTCTGCCATGTGTTTAAGATTCAGAATGCAAAATAGTCAATAAAGGATAGCCTATGTTACCTTCTACTGCTAAGTAATGTACCCATTAACAGAAATAATAAGGTTGGATTTCTGCATTGTTTAGTGCATGGAAAATATTTAGGGAGGAAGACAACATGAGAGCAGCCCCAAAGGAGCAGGAGGATCTTGGCAGGCTCCAGGGAGTTTCATAAAAATCACAGTGGGTAAACTAAAGAGAGTTGTGGCCAGAAGCATCTTTTGAAGTGGGCTGGATTAAAATGATTTCTCAAGGAAGGTGTCTTAGGCTGTGACATGAACCACTGCACTTTGCCTAGGTGGAACTAGGGGGGAGGCACGTTGTTGGAGGAACTGAAAGGGTTTGATTAGTTAGAAAACTGTTCTTCAAGGAAAGGGCTTTGTAAATGCTTCAGGAAACTGGATTGTTCTGGGAAGCTCAGAAGTTGATTTGCTGCTGATGGCAGTGAGCCACCATTTATGCAGCATCTGCCAAAGTGCACTCTGGGACTGGTTTGTATTCTGGTAGCTCCTGCAATAGAGTATTCCAAAAGAATAAATGCTTTTGTCTAAAATAGATTTTTTTCATATTTTTTACTGGAATTTTGACGTGTGCACATTGAACAGACAGGAAGGTAAGTTTTTCCTTGTGTGAGAGCATGCACAAGACGTGTGCACCCTTTTTGTTTCAGTTTGGGGTCTTGCATGGGCGCTGGGGACTCTGTGCTGTCTGTGCCTGCTGGAATGGTGTGTTCCTGTTCTCTCCCCCCTCTAACACTTGTGGCTTTTCCCTGAAGTGCACAGTTCCCAGTAACCTGACCTGCTGGGAGTGGTTTTGTGGTTGAAGCATGGAATTGCTGATACTGAGCGGACAAAGATCATTTTCTTGTTGGCTCTCTGGCCGTGGCCTGGCACCCACCTGTGGTGGGTTGCAGGGGTCCCAGGATGAAGGAAGAGACGAGAATCTGACTCCATGTTTCAGAAGGCTGATTTATTATTTTATTATATATATATATTATATTAAAACTATACTAAAAGAAGAGAAGAAAGGATTTCATCAGAAGGCTGGCAAGGAATAGAAGAAGAAATGATAACAAAAGCTCGTGACTCTCAGAGAGTCTGAGCCAGCTGAGTGTGATTGGCCATTAGTTAGAAACAACTCTATGAGACCAATCACAGACCGATCTGTTGCATTCCACAGCAGCAGATAACCATTGTTTACATTTTGTTCTTGAGGCCTCGCAGCTTCTCAGGAGAAAAAATCCTAAGGAAAGGATTTTTCATAAAATCTGTGTGTCTGTGACGCCCACCCTTGCCTGTGACTCTGCACATTCACCCTCTCAGCTCAGTATTGGCAATGTTTGTTTAATTTCAGAGTGGGGAAGGAAATCTAGAGGAGATTTCACTTAAATAGGTATCTTGGATTTGACTACAATGGCATGCTTTTGAATGCCCTGGCAGAGGAAGAATGCTGCTTCTCAAACACTGGCATCATTTAATCCTTGTAAGGGAGAGAAGTTCTGTGCTGTGTTCTGCAACATAAACCCAGAAACCTGAACCTTCTCCTTCACTTCTTCTCATCTGAGACCAGAGTGGTACTACAAGCATGTAAAAGAGTGAAAGTTGTAGCTTGGCAGTTTTAATCATTGGAGCATCTCATTGGTTCATCTAGGTTGGTGAGGGAGTGTGGTTTCAAGGTGGTACCTTCAGGAGCATGACAGAATCACAGAAAGGTTTGGTTTGGAAGGGACCTTAAAGATCCTCCAGTTCCAGTCCCCCTGCTGTGGGCAGAGGCACCTTCCAGTACACCAGGGTGCTCCAAGGCCCATCCAGCCTGGCCTTGAACACTTCCAGAGATGAGGCATCCACAGCTTCTCTGTCCCTGTGTCAACTCCTCTGGGCTTGCTCCAACAGGTCCCTGTCATCTTTATGTTGTGCCCTGCTCTTACTAAAGGTCTGTGGAAGCAATTCCCATGGCCCAGCATATTAAAAACAGCATCAGATAAGTTTCTTAGGAAAATTTTGTGAAAGAATGATTTTGTTTTCACTACTGGTAAAGTTTAGGCTGGTACTTGAAGATTTCTAATCTTGTGAGGATTGAAATCTTGACGAAAGGAAAAACTGGGACCATATGTGAAATCAAGATGCAGCAAAAGTAAAATAAGATGCAAGAAGGTGGAAAGGTATCAGCAGCTCTTTCCCAGGCCTTACCTAAAGTTCCTCCTAATTTCAAGTGATGATTATGGACCAGGATTTTATTTACCTTACTTGGCAGTTTAGGGGATGTTAGAGGGATGATTCACAATCACTTATTCTAGTCAAAGTTCCTGACACTTCTGCTTTCCCATGGCAATTCAGTGCTTCTCATTTCTGTTTCTGTATGAACTCTGTGCTTGCTGGCATGTTTTCCCTATTGGAAGTCCTATGCACTCCTGCTTGAAATGTGGTTTTTCATGATAGTTTTCTATCCTATTGAGGTAGAGGAGGAAATACAGTGATTTCTATCACTTGAGCAAAGCAGGACTCAGGAAACTTGGAGATAGCCAGGTAATTGCCTTTTCATTGGTAAATTTAAATTGTCTTGTAAACAATCAAGACAGTAAATTATATTTATAGGCTGTGAATAATCTCAGACATTAAAAAATCCAAACTGGTGCCTTGATGCTTTTGAAGGCTTCCTCCATTTTTTTAAGAACCAAAAATTGTTAGCTAAAGTTCCATTCCCTTAAAATAATTTAGTTTTGACAATTTGTTTTCTTCCTTGTTTTCTTCCCCCTACCCCCCACCCTTCTCTTCCAGCAACTGGAAGCAGCAGCTGCTCGTGCTGCTGAGGAGGAGAAGAAAAGGCTTCAGACTCAAGTTGAGTTACAAGATCGCTTCAGTCTGGAGCTGGAGAGAGAAAAAATGGTGAGAAGTGCACGAGGGGTTTTGCTGCTATTCCACATAGGGAGCCGTGTGTTCAGCAAGGGCTTCCCTCACAGGCAGCCACTGAAAGGATTCCACAGGTTTTGCAGGAGCCTGGAGAATGGAATCTGTGTTGCATTTATTTGAGATGTAGGATTAAAATATTTTTAATGGTGAATTCAAATACTGGAACAGCTTGGTTACAGTTTGTACAGCATTCAAGGTTTAAATATGATTGGAAAATTGGGAAAGAAATAGACTGTTTGAAGGATAAATGCAAACTGAAGTTCCCCTTGCAGTTCTCAGAGATGGAGAACCTGAGGCCAGTACTTGCTGTATGGATAAGCAAAATGAATCAGGCAAAATCAAAATGCATTTTATGTGTTCCTAGAGCTATTGCTTTTTAATGCTGTGTGTTCTTTTACAATTATACACACACACAAATATAAAAAATAAAGAAATATTGCTGCTTTACAATACTGTTACTATTCAACTACACTGAGGATTCCCCAAAGAACTGATTTTCAGGCTTCAGGGGCTGTGTCAGGTTGTTCTTTTAGCTGGGGAAAAGAAGTAGACAAAGTGATGTGATGGGACATCTCAGGACATTAATGCACACAGTGCTGCTTTATGGGCTGAGCATGAATTCCTGAATACAATCCCTTTCTGGGTCACTGGGATTTGGGTCAGCTGAGGGGAGCAGCCTGCAGACCAATGGGGCAGGACATTCCAACCCCCTTTGTCCATCCTGTGCCATCATCCAGAGACAGAAGTGTGTGAGATACACTGCTGACAAGGGGGGAGTGAAAACAGTGCCTTTAAAGCAGCCTGACCTTCATGTCTGGCCTCTACAACCTTTCTCTTCCTTCACTTGTGTATCTGTAAACTAAGCAACAAGATCAAGCTGACTGAAATTATATTTGAACCCCTGTAGAAGTCCTGTGCTGCAGGAAGTAGGTCAATATAAGTGGCCTGTGTTATTATTTATTTTTTTGAATGCTCTTAGTTCCACATCTGCAGATCTAGCCTCAATTTTATCAGTTCTGCTCTGCAGTCAGCAGGAAGAGGTTTGTCTCTGAAAACATGGCCTGAGGGAGAGCTGGCAATTCCTTTAAAAATTGGAAAATTGAGTTGAATGGTAGCTTATGTGTCCCAAATTTGTGCTGCTAGGTAAGACAAAAAATGGAAGAGCAGGTTGCTCAGAAATCATCTGAACTGGAACAGTATTTACAAAGAGTACGTGAACTGGAAGAAATGTACAAGCAGCTCCAGGAGGCACTGGAGGATGAGAAACAGGCACGTCAGGATGAGGAGACTGTGAGGAAACTTCAGGCCAGGTATGGCTTTGACCAGGTGGAAAAGTGTTTGTTCCCCTGCCAGTAGTGGGTACCTGTGCCCTGCTACTAATGACTGCTTGCCTTTTGGAAGGGGAACTACATTCAAGTGCAAACACAGCACAGATTTTATTTTTCCTTAAATTGAAGGCTGAAGCTGCGGTTTATGATTTTTAAAATACGTCTGATTAGCCTTTAGCAGAGGGCAAGCTCAGCAGTTTTGGAAAAGCAGGTGCAGTCATTTTTCCAGGTGTTGTGCATGTCAGCATGTGAAAAACAGAGATCACTCTGTACAGGCTTTTCAGCTGTTTATTTTATAAAGCGGTATCTGTAAAAATGACTTTCTGCTGTATTTTATCACAGGTTTAAACTGTAAGGATAAAGGGTTGAATTTCCTCTTACAGGGGCTTTGTGGAGTGTGGGTTTTTTCCTTCATATACTCAGTCCTCCTAAGACAATGAAGATAACTTATGCATGCCTGTTTCTTCTGGGGCTCTGTGTTGTGTATTTGCATTATTGACTACATTTTCTGAATAGCCCTTTGTAACAGTCAGACTGCCTGCACTGCTGGCATGACACTGAAGGCAAGCCAACAAACAATCGCTTTTCCCCTGCTTCCCAAGCTTTTTTAAAAACTGTATTTTCTTTCCCTTTTCTAAAAAAAAGGATTAAATAAAAATTAATTAATTTGGCTTCTCTGCATGGATACAACTCATGTTAAAGTGCAGTTAACATCACAATCCCCGTTGCAGATTGCTGGAAGAGGAGACAGCAAAGAGAGCTGAACTGGAAAAATGGCATTTGCAGCAGCAACAGACCATTCAGATGACAGAAGCAGAGAAGCAAGAGCTGGAAAACCAGAGAATGATGAAGGAACAGGCTCTTCAAGTGGCCATGGAGCAACTGAAACAACTTGAGTTGGAAAGGAAGGAGGCCCTTGAGCAGTATGAGGTGAGCTGCTCTGGTCATCAACCTCTCATCCCTATCCATAGATTGAATTTGAAGTTCTTCAGTATTATACTTCTTTAAGGGTTAGTATGGCACAAAAGTTGTAAGAGGTAGGATAGTTGGGTTGGTTGTGTTTTTGTTTTTGTTTGTTTTGTTTCTAGTTTTTACTCTGTTTCTAGACCAGTAGATACATTTGAAGAAGAGGATCTGTTTCAGACACACCTCTGAACCTCTTTTATTTATTTTTGTCACAATTTGCATGCAGGCCAGCTCAGTCACATCCTGAAATACTCTGTGTACATTAGTTTTCTACTGCAGTCTCACTTCAGGTGCAGTCCCACTGCTGCCATAACTGGGTGCATTTTGCTTCTGAGGTAGTAATTCTTGCAGTGTTTGGATGATGTTATGGCACTGCATTATCTTCTACAGAGGAAAAGTCAATGTGTTACTGTAGGCACCTATTCCTCCAAAATGTATTTCAGCACTGGATGGAAGTTGAGGATAGGTAGGAATTAGCTCAGATTCCCAGTGTGCAGCAGAGCCTCGTGTCCCAAAAGTCAGGCCTGCTCTCTGCTCCACTGAGTGTTTCTGGGGAAGGCCAGTAGCTGTTCATGGGAGAAATAAGAGCCAGAATCCAGCAAGTACAGAGGCTGAAGTGCTGCACACTTCCCAGGGCTAGAGAGGTGTTGATCCTGCATTTATTTAGGTCAGGAAAGAAAGCCTGGCTGGGTTTGTGTTTAGCAGGGGAGGGTGTTTATGGGGTGAGCTCTGAAGGACAAGCCTGTCTCGCCTGGCACAGAACACAAGTGCTGCACTCACTGCAAGCAAGGGCCCAGCTGGGGTGGCTGTGGCCACTTTACAACTTCCCAGGGTGGTGTTACATCCCACAGCATTACAAGATTGCTTCTGGCCAGTACTTGGCTCTTTTTTAGGTGACATCTCAGGCTTTTTGTATGGGAAGCATCATTTACTACTCCAGAGGAATTGCTGAATACAGTAGACATATAAAACCACAAAAAACAAATCCAGAAAACAATTATTTTAGAAATAATTAAACATAAATTCTAGCCTTCCATTTGGAATTGCCCAAAAGACCAGTCTAGGCTGAAGAATGAAGACTAGCTTCATTACACAGCTACACAATATTGTAAAACCTTGTTATTTTAGGATTCTGGTTTGTCAACTTTTTTTTTTTGTGGAGTGTGGTAGTGACTAAGTTACTTAGGATGGTTCCACATTAAACAGAGGGCTGAGGGAATTAGCATGGTTCTGGCTTTTGGTTTGAAAGGTGTTGTATCTTCATATAAAAACAGAGTAAAGCTGTTGTTTTCAGGTGGGCTCTGTGTTATTTTAGGAGGTTAAGAAGAAGTTGGAAACAGCAGCTAACAACACCAAGAGTTGGAAAGATAAAGTAGCTCATCATGAGGGATTGATTCGACTAATAGAGCCAGGTGAGTTATCAACAGAAGAGTTACAAAAATATGTATTTATTCTGTCTCATGCACTGATATCACTTGGTGGCTTACTGAAGTGTGTCTTTTCCTGTAGTTTACTGGTTCACAGCAGCCTCTAAGTACCAGCCTTTGTGACAATTTCAGATGGGAGCTTCCAAGTCTTTCCCTCTATTGGCCCTACTATGATGATTTTATTATCATTATTGTTTGTTTCTTTCATGTTTAAAACAAAACAAGGATCAGCCTGAACACTGCATTGTGGGAGTGTGACATCCCTGTCAGAACTGCCTGTCTCAGGTCTTGCTCTCTCTCTTCCAGGCTCCAAGAATCCTCACTTAATCACAAACTGGGGCCCGGCCGCCTTCACTGAAGCTGAACTGGAGGAGAGACAAAGGAGCTGGAAAGGGAAGAAAGCCACTTCCACTTCAGAGTGACAGTGGCAGCTGACACGTGGCCCGGAACAGGAGCCCACCTCCCTCGTTCTGCTTTGCACAGAGCAGCCTCTTGCTTACAAAGTTTAGTTTGCTCAGCAGGTTGGGCCTCTCTGCTCATGAAATGCTGTTTGCCATGCTGGAGGGTCTGCTCAGAGCTCAGCCATTCCAGTGGGTGGAGTCTGACAGGAGTGCTGTTTTCCCTCGCTTTTCCAAGACTTTGCAACTGAAAGTTTGTATTGAAATGTAGCTTGTGACAGACAGAGTTGTTCCTATAGTAGCCTGTAACAATCTGACAGCAGCTAACCAGTCAGGCAGCATCACTTTCATTCCAGAAGGTCAGGGAAGCAGTTGTTCTGCTGGTTCAGTTTAGTGTCATTTCAACCAGGAGAAATCAGTCCTGGAGGCTGTGTCCAACTCTGAGATGGAGCATTACCTTTCTTTCCTCCTTTTACTTTTGCTGTCCCTCTGTTGCTCTCTGCACAGTGCTTGGTGCTCAGACACATTCCCTTGGCAAGGGGGGGCTGCCATCACTGGGTGCCTGCTGCCTGCTTGGATTTGGTGTCCTGTTTCCCTCTCTTTGCAGGAATCCAAACAAAAGAACTGGAGATAGGCATGTAGAGAACACTGCTGTAAGACATTTGGAAAAAGTAGTTATGCAAGACTGTTTTTGTACTGTCACATACCTGAGAAGAGCTAAATTAAGCCTTGAGAGTTCTCTTCATAGTATGAAAAATGAAGTTTTGGCTCAGATTTCTGAAGCAGATCAATGGAAGGTGGTAGCACACACAGGGCAGATAGCTTTTGTGTCAAGGCTGTGTTTGTGCAGGAAATCTGATTATAACATCCCACCATTTTTAGATGGAGCACTGTCTTACTTTTAATTGGAGGCCAGATGAAAAAATATAAGAAGAAATGTTTTTTTAAATAAAAGTGATAAATGTGTAGTGATACTGCTTTAGGAAAAAAAAAAACGAATTCCTGTCAATAAAGTAACTTCACTCTTTCTAGTACCAAGGCTTCCCAAAGAGGCTGCTGTTGTGCCTTGCTATTCTCTCCTGGGACAAAGCCAGTTATTTCTGTTTCTGTAGGGGAAAGGAACAAGGCTGTGACTTTGCTTTGCAGATCTCCCACACCAGCATTGCTCAGTAAAACAGGATTCCTCCCAACTTGTACAGACGTTTTGGGATGCCCCCTCAAGGAGCAGGTGCCCACTGGTGTGGCAGCTTTGACTGTACCCTGGCCATCCATCCCTCACCTGCTTGTTAGTTCAGCTACATGTTAAATTATTTGTAGTAAATAAGTGAATTTTTCAGGAGGATAAGCAGTGCCTTGCTGTGCAGCACTGTGATACTTGGGTCTTGGAAGAGCAGAAGCTGTACAGAAGTGGTGTCCAGATTTGGAAGTCATGAATAGCATTTTATTTGCCTATTAACTAAGACTCACTCAAATACTGAATCTTCTCAGACATTTATTCTCTGGTTGTATTTTTGTACTAATTGAAATCTTTAATGTTTCAGTAAATGGAGTGCTGATTAGAATGGCAGGAAAATCCAGGATCTTCCTATTTATACTCACTGTACAGGAAAACAGTAGTTCTTTAAACTTACAGTGCATTTTTTAAAATTGATCACATTTACAGAAGCAATGTGAATAAAAAACCCACCCACCTGTAATAGAATTACTAATGTACACAAGGTTAAACTTTGCTAAAGGAGCTGGAATAGTATTTGTAACTACCAAACATCTTATGTGGAGAGCAGAAGGGGTATTGGGGCTAAACTTGTTTAATTTTTCTAACAGTCTTTATTTTGGACAATGTTTTTTTAAGAACACCAAATGCTGCATGTATTCATATTTTTTACTGTTCTTTAGAAATGGCTGTTTAATAAAGTAATATAAAGTCATTTGCATTTTGGAATTAATGGATGTCTTATTGCCTGGGTTTCTTTTGGCCTGTTGGAATTCAAAATCCAGTGACTGTTGTGTGGAGGAAGTTTAATGGTCGGATCAATGGGATGTTAAAGGCATAATAAAGGCAGTGGTAACACAAACAGCCTTTGTTTTAGCAGCACTCCTGCTCTTACAAGTTCATACTCAGTACTCCTTGCTGCAGGATGGGGCAAGGGCAGAGCAGGTTCAGCAGGGAGCTGTAGGGGCAGACACCCAGCAGCCCCTCACAATGTGTCAGCCCTATCTGTCTGTCTGTCTGTCTGTCTGGCAGGAGAGGAAATGAGATAACGTTCCTTTTAGTTCCGTCGTTTCTGCTTGCTCTGGCAAATCAAAAAAGCTTTGTGTGAAGCCTTGCTCAGTAAAGCTGGGGGGTGTGGTTGGCTTAAAAATAGAAGCATTTGCATGCCGAGCAAAAATACCACTTGAGAATGAGCCCCTTAGAGGGGCACTGTGCAGCATCCTAAGGGAGCACAGAGCCGTGAGTCACTGCCGGGGCATGGAAATCTGCATCCCGCTGTGCCGGCATCTCCTGCTCCCACAAAGCAACGAGCCTGCTCCTGGTCAGGATATCCCGCTGAGCTCTGGGGTTAGGGATGCCACTGCTCTGCCCAAGAAGCCCAAACTACACCTCAGGCTCACACAGAGGCCAGGGGAAAGCTGTGCACTGGAGGGCTCAGCCCACTTGTTTTTCTCTGCCAGACTGAGGTTTCATTTGCCTGCTGCTGGTGGAGCACTCCTGCAAACCACAGCCCCAGTACCGTGCTGTTCCCTCTACAAACAGGATGGGGTTTGGTTTAGGGTTTTTGTTTGTTTTTGTTTTCTTTTCCCTGTGACCATTTTATGGGGCTGATTTATGAGCCGTGCTCACTGGATCACACATCCCCAAACTGTAACAGGCTGGCTTCCAGCAGCTCATGTTACTCCTGTCTCACTGTCCTGCATGAGCAGCCACAAAAGCAAAGCCTCTATGGGGAAAGGAACAGTGTCTTGGGACAGAATCTGTGCCCTGGGCAGGTGGGGAATTGGAAGCAGGTGACCATTAAGGTCCAAAAGAAGCCCTGTTATGGTAGAGAGATTGGAAGCAGGTGATCATTGAGGTCCCTTCCAACCCTAGCCATCCTGTGGTACTGTCTCAGTCATGCAAGACACCTGGAAAGGGAGCTGCACCATCCCTCTCAGTGAAAGCGAACACTGAGAATAACTGCTCTGATTTTTATCTCAAATATGTGAGGCAGTTTGTAAGCAATTTCTGAGCAAACCGGTGCAGGGCCAGGAAAGGGGATGTCCACAAGGCTTTTCAGATGCCTTGGGGTGAGAGGTTATGATTTGTTCCCAAAGGAAGCGGTGCTGAAGGGCGGCAGGTGTGCCGTACGCTTGTCCTCTAAGAATGGTAAATTCCTTTCACATTTAACAAGATTTTTAGGGGCTTTGCTAGTCTCGTGACTTGAGAATTTTGTCTCTGCCTTTGTTTTGTTTTTTTGTATTTTTGTTGTTTGGCGGTTTTTGTTTGGCTTTTTTGGGGTGTTTTTTTTTGCTTGTTTAACAAATCTTTTGGGGTCACTGTGGCAGCCCCCGCGCCCCCGCCCGGCTGCCCACGCCGGGACACCGAGCGGGGACAGCGGGAGCGCTCCGGGCCGGCCCCGGGGCTGCCTCATCGCTGGGCTCCGGCTGCCACCTCGTGGTGGAGCAGCCCGCCGTCCCTCGATGGCGATCCCGCCGTGTTCCCGGCCGTGGCCGTGTCCCGGGACAGCCACCCTGGGAAAAGCGCTGCGGCTGCGGCACCGCCACCGCCTCCCTGCCCTGGCCACCGCAGCTCCTGCTCCAGGAGCCCGGAGTTCCTCTGCTAGCTCAGCGTGCCCACAGACATCCCGTCAGCCTGGGAAAAATGGATTTTTGTTGTTGCTGTCGTTACCACGGGGCTGTGAGCTAATTCAGACATATTTTCCGAGCAAACCGCGGGCAATGTGCGCAGTGGGATACAGCATCCCGCAATCTCGCATCTGCAGGCGCAGCTCGGGCTGCCGTGCGGCTTCCCTGAAAGCAGAACAAGGGAAAACGTGCGAGGGAGGTTCCTTCCCTGCACACCGCCTCTGCCCAGGTGCTGTGTGCGCGCCCCGAGGCTGCAGGAGCGGGGCCGAGCCGAGGACGTGCTCAGCATCACGTACTCCCCTTTGGGAGCGGGACTCGGGCTCGCCCCTCCAGCCACGAACGGGGTGGGCGTGTGTGGGGAGAGGATATCAGCTCACTCATGTGACCGTGAGGGCCAAAATAAAATAAAATAAATATAAATAAATACAAAATAAATTTTAATACATAAAATAAATAAATAAATAAATAATTATATATATATATAAAAAAAAATAAAATGCAAATAGAAACTTTGTGGCTTCCACACTTACTCTCACTATGGACTCCAACTACCTGGAAATGGCAGGATTCAAATATAGCTGTGCTGTGAGGGCCCTCACGAAGGAGGGATGATGATGAGGACTCCATTGATATTAGAAGGCTAGTTAATTACTTTATTATACTATATTATTCTATACATCTAAAACTGAACCTGCCAAGCACTCAGCTCTGCACACCAACTGCACACACTGCACTGAATCTCGTGACTGTCACCCAACAGTTCAACACACAATCTTGGCACTGATAGGCCAAGGAAACAAAACACCATGACTTTGGGTAAACAATCTCCGTGTTGCATTCTACTTTTGCACAAACACAGGCACAGCAAATGATACGAATTGTGTTTTCTTTCTCTGATGTTCAGACAGTGTGAAACCCAGAAATATTCTTGGGAAGAACTGTGCCTTGCTTTTCTCTGTGAAAAGAAATGTGAGGCTACACTCAAAAGTGAAGAAAAGCTCTGTCCTATGGACTGGCTTCCTGGGTGTGCCAAAAGTACCATCCTTTAAAAAAAAAAGGAAAGGCCAGTGGTTGTTTTAACACATAAGATGAAATGATGTTTGGCAAATGTAGCTGCATCTCACCTCCAGAAGAAATTAAAATTGGAATGGTGCGATGCAAAACAGTTAAACATCCTGAAAGGCCTTGAGAGGGAGATTTAATGAGGCAGTTTTTAACACCTGTGTGCACAACCCTGGGAGAACCACTTTACAGGAGCCCTTTTCTTGCCTTTTTTCTCATACTTTAGCCTAATTGAGAGAGGAAATGTAAAATGATATGAGCAGCAGGGTCAGAGGAAAGCCCATGTATACTGGACAGAATATTGATAACAAGGAAAAAAGAAATCACAATCTCCAGCACAAATGCACTCACTCTCCCCCATAAGCCTTTACTGAGTAGGCTATCAATCCCTTAGTGAATAAAACCAAAAAAACCCTTTCTACCTTACTCAGTGTTCTCACAGCTTACATCACTCTTCCGCCCACCAAAGGGGCTTGATCTAGCACCAGTTTTGCACACACTTGTTAAAGTAATTGCTAATTAATAGAGCTGCTTGCTGTGCCTTTAACAGGATCCAGGCACAACAATGTCCTCCTGCAAACACTCCTCACCTGCTGTCACT